TTTTAAAAATTATGTTAGTGACTGGGCGTGGTGGCTTACACCTGTAATCACAGCACTTTGGGAGGCTGAAGTAGGAAGATCACTTGAGCCTGGGAGTTAGAAGCCAGCCTGGGTAAAGATAAAGAGGGAGTACTGGACTCACTCTTTACAAAAAAATGAAAAAGTTTGCCGTGAGTGGTGGTGTGCACCTATGGTCTTGGGAGGCTGAGGTGAAAGAATTGCCTGAGCCCAGGACGTGGAGGTTGCGGTAGACTTCGATCATGTCATTGGACTCCAGTCTGGGTGATATTGTGAGACTGTTTTAAAAAAAAGAAGTTATTATGTGGATGGTGCAAGAGAGACTGTGGAACTCTCCTCAGGGTTTCATTGTAAGCTTGGTCTTATACTAGGAACTTGGTGAATAAATAAATGTACATTTACATTTTTAGGTCAAAATAATTTGCTTGAGTTAATAAGTCTGTAGGAGTCATTATTATTTTTCTCAGAACTTACCACTTTTATTGGGGCTTTCAATTTATCAATCTATTCTGTTCCTGTGATGTAAAACACAGTCTCCTTTTACCTTATAACCTTTATTTAATAGCAGACGGTGGTTGTCTGGATAAGAGGAAATTGGAAGTCCAGGACAGTGAATTATGTCTTTCATATTTTTGAGACAAGATCTCACTATGTCACCCAGGCTATATAGTACAGTGGCAACAGTCATGGCTCACCGCAGCCTCCACCTCCCTGGCTCAAGCAATCTTCCCACCTCAGTCTCCTGAGTAGCTGGGACTACAGGTGTGCACCACCATGCCTGGCTAATTTTGTTCATTTTTTGTAGAGACAGAGTTTCACTGTGTTGCCCAGGCTGGGCTCAAGTGACCCTCCCACCCCGGCCTCCCAAATTGCTAGGATTACAGGCATGAGACACCATACCCAGTCATGTCTTCCTCTTTCCCAGGTGACTAAATAGCTAAGTTACCTGTGGAAGTGGACTGAATCTAGATGATAGTACTGCTCTCAGTCCTCTCTTTTTCAGTCGTTCATTAATTCTTTCAACAAATATGTGTTGGCTGCATGCCCTGGTGCATCTCCCTATGGGAATGCACAGCCATTGACTTAATCCACGCAGATGTTTCCTGGTTGTTCATAGGCATAAAAGGGACATAGTTACCAGGCATAGTGGCTCACGCCTGTAATCCCACTCGGGAGGCTGAGGTGGGAGGATTGCTTGAGGCCAGGAGTTTGAGACCATCCTGGGCAACACAGTGAGATCCCTATCTCTAAAAAAATTTAAAACAAAAAAAATCTTAGTCAGGTGTGGTGGCACCTGCCTATAGTCTCAGCTACTTGGGAGGCTGAGGCAGGAGGATCACTCGAGCCAAGGAGTTCGAGGTTGCAGTGAGCCATGATTGTGCCACTGCATTCCAGCTTGTGTGACAGAGTGAGACCCTGTGTCTAAAAAAAAGAATGGGACACAGTTGTGGTGAATTTCTTTCTTTTTTTTTTTTTACTTTTTGTCTGAAGGTAAAAATATATCTTTGTTCTCTTAATTTTTGTCAGGGGGCAACCACTCATGTCAAACAATAGTGGTAAGGGGAGGAAAATATTATGCAAAGGGCTAAATGTGCTGTAAAAATTACCTTTTCTAGGAATGGGGTCATTTGAAACACTTTAATAAAATACACTGGTTAATAGTCTTTGTTGGAATCAAGGACTCCACATAATTTTAATCATCATTCAGAATACTTTACTGTGCAGCAAGATTTAGCAATGTTATAGGCCTCAGGGAAGGTTCTCTGCATTTCTTTTCAAGTTTTAAGCTTTCATGTTATAGTCCTAGAGGCACACTCTCACCAAAAGCAGGAGGGAGAAACAGCCTGCTGAATGCTGTGGCCAGACCCCTTTCTGGATTCAAATCTTCTCAGTAGAAGCAGCCTGCTGAATGGTATGGTCAGACCCCTTTCTGGGTTCAAATCTTCTCAGTAGAAACAGCCTGCTGAATGGTATGGCCAGACCCCTTTCTGGATTCAAATCTTCTCAGTTCTGGGAAGAAGTCATTTGGAAGAATGACTTTTCTTGGAAGAGCATGGTTCACTTCAATAGTATCCAAACAGCTAGCAAGTTTTTTTTTTTTTTTTTTTTTTTTTTTGGCAGGATCTCACTTTGTCATCCAGGCTGGAGTGAAGCGGCATAATCACGGCTCACTGCAGTCTCCATCTCCATGGCTCAATTGATCCTCCCACCTCAGCCTCCTGAGTAGTTGGGACTACAGGTGTGCCATCATGCCTAATTTTTCTATTTTTTGTAGAGATGGAGTCTCGCCATGTTGCCCAGGTTGGTCTCGAACTCCTGGACTCAAGCAATCCTCTCATCTCAGCCTCCAAAGTGCTGGGATTACAGGTGTGAGCCACCACACCTGGTAACAACTAGCAGTTTTAGCTGACAAGGAAATTCAACCCCAAATGACCTGGCCTGAAGTTATTTTTGACAGGTAGCTTCCCCACTGCCACACAAGGGACTAAAGGAACTCTCTACCACAATTTCTATGTCTGTGTCTGATGCTAGGATCAACAGTATTTATATGCACAAGGGCTGTCAGTTTTCAAAAACCTTTCTTTGTCCCCCTTTTGTTGTTTCCCCTCCAGCTCTCCACCCTGTGCACAGGATACTGTCCTGGTCAAGGAGGGGAGGGAGGGAGTCTGTAAACAGTGCCTGTAAAGAGGCGAGGGCTTGTGCAGAAGTGATGGATGCTGTTGGAACAGAGCAAAGTCTAGCAGGATGGACAGAAATGTGGGAACCAGATCTAGGGAGGATGGGAGGGGTGAGAGGATCAGAATCAAACACTGGAGAGGGAGGAGAAGAGGCTGGGGCATGATGGAGGTGGGGAAGCCCAAGGATGAGGGGGTAATCTACACAGAGGGAAGGAGCCAGCGTTTTCTTGGCAGTATTTTGTGTATGCCTCTCCTTTTATTTTATTTTTTAGTGGCAGACTTCTGAGAAATAAGAAAACAAGGGATGAGCATGGTTCCCATAATAGTAGGAACTCACAGTACCTTTCATAAGCTTATAATTGATTTTCCCATCTCTGTTTTCCCAAGCCTGACAATTCAGACCTGGAGGCTTTGTGTCTGAGAGGGGGAGGGGAGGGAAGCTCTACCAGTACATCATTCCGGCCACAGTCCAGGCTTGTTAGCATTTGAGCAGCAAAAAGGATCTATCCCTAGAAGCTTCCTCCCTGCTTTCTTCCTGGAACTCCCCAGGGAGTGAGGACCTTGGGGAAGGAGGAGATGGTGTAGTTGAAAGAAGCAATATTAACAGTCAGAGATTTAAACCCACTAAAATCAGCCACATTTCAGAAAATGTAAACATGCCATTTTTATATAGACTTAGTGCCCACCACCCCCTACCCCTGCCAAATCCTGGTTATAGACTAACAGTTGCTGTTAGATGCTTATAAAAATAAACCCGTTTCCCAGGATGAGCCTAACTTGGGCTCACACTAACTTGGGCTGGGAACATACTGATAAATTTCTTCCTTTTTCTCCCCTAATTTTGATCTGGAGGAAAAAAATGTATCTTTGTTCTCTTAATTTTGGGCTAACTTCTACTGCAGGACTTTCTGGCCTGAAGAAAGTTCTTCCACATGAGTGTAGTTGTGAACAAAGTGTAGCTCCAGGAGTTTTGTTCTGCATAGTGGGGAGCGGTGGAAACCACGAGGCTACCGCAGGTGGTGGACTTGGCAGAGAGAGGAGCATATGGGTTTGACAGCGGAAATAGATGTCACCATCTGGTACATGGACCTTCAGATGATTCCATTACCTCCCTGTCCTACCCCATATCTAGGATGAGCACGGGTGGCATTTAAGATATATTTGCTTAATTTTTTTTCTTTTTTAATGACATAGTCCTGGTTTTAAGCAAATGGAGATAAAAGACGATGTGCTCTGTTTGGGATGTCTGCCAAGGCAGAGCTCACAGAAGACGGGAGAAGTTTCTGAGGATAGCTACCTCTGATATGATTGCTTGGATTGGCGCTGGGCTGTTTCCTGTTAGAAAAGGCAGAATACAAGCCCCAGGGAAGGGGCCAGTCAGTGTGCCAGCTACTGGAGCGCAAGGAGGATTCATTCCTGGATGAGAGGTGACTCAGCAGAGAGATTTCCTAGAGACACCTCCTGCTCCCCCTTGAATGACATTCAAATCAGACTTCTAGACATACAGCTTGTGAGGTGTTCAGGGATTAATTTTTCTGTGGGACAAATGTAAGTGCCAGACTATGGCAGTTTGGGATATGGTCAGTTGAGCCAGATATGCTTTGACTATCTTGTTAGATTTGAACATCTAGAATTCTGATGGCTGTGAACTTTGAGAATCTTACTTGGGATTATGGAATTATAGAGACACAGGGCAAATAAGATAAATGGGTTTCTCTTTCATAGTTTTGTTGTTGTTTAGTTCATGCGGTCAGGTTATTCAGTGGCATGTCCCAGGTAGATTTCTTACATCTGCCATCAGCTATGACATCACGCCTGGATTCCAGTAACAGGATGGCATTTCATCAAATTCTGAAAGTCATCATTATTTGGACTAGAACAACCTATTCCTTAAAATGCCTAGTAACACGAAATCTGGAAACAAACCCCCAGGTTGGAACTCCTTAACAAAATCAGGGCACCTTTACTGCAGTTTGTTGCAGTGTCACTTACCTGGAGAAGGAGCCTTGTTCACCCCAGGATGACCCGTCTTTGGGTTAAAAAACAGTGCTATTCCCTTTGAGTCAGAATGGTGCTGGCCACGCCCCTATCATCTTTTCCTGCCAAGTTGTATTCAGTGCAGCATGCTGGATTTCTGGCAAGCTGGAGTCAGTGATGGGGCAAAGATATGTTTGGAATTGGATGAAACTCTGGACACCTCTTCAGCTCCACTGTTTAGACAGCAGCTGGCTGGAGTGGCCTCCCAGTCAGTATCATCCATTCTTGAGACTAGAGGCAATCCCACTTCTGCTGACAGTCACCCAGAATTCCATCTCCCCACCTCCTCTCCAGATCCATGAGAAAGAAGAGGAAGAGTTCAATGAGAAGAGCGAGAATGATTCTGGTATCAACGAGGAGCCTCTGCTCACAGCAGATCAGGTATGAGTATCTCTCCAGGTTATTGGGACCTTTCGTTCTTTTGATGGAGAAAAAGTTCAAGAGAACACACTTGCTACATCCGTTTAAGGCAGAAGAAAGATATGTGGTCATGTGACGCCTGTGCTGATGGCTCAGAGTATTTTTTGTTTCTTTTTTTCCTTATATATATATTTTTGAGACAGAGTCTTGCTCTGTCACCCAGGCTGGAGTGCAATGGCGTGATCTTGGCTCACTGCAACCTCTGCCTCCCGGGTTTAAGTGATTCTCCTGCCTCAGCCTCCCAAGTAGCTGGGGCTACAGGCATGCATGACCATGCCTGGCTAATTTTTATAAATTTTTTTTAGTAGACATGTAGTTTCATCACGTTGGCCAGGCTGGTCACAAACTCCTAACCTCAAGTGATCTACCTGCCTCAGCCTCCCAAAGTGCTGGGATTACAGGCACGAGCCACCATGCCTGACTTTTTTTTTCATTTTGAGACAGGGTCTTACCCTGTCACCCAGGTGGGAGTGCAGTGGCACAATCAGGGTTCACTGCAGCCTCAACCTCCCTGGCTCAAGCGATACTCCCACCTCAGGCCCCTAAGTAGCTGGGACTACAGGCATGCACCACTATGGCCAGCTAATTTTTTGTACTTTTAGTGAGGATGAGGTTTCACCATGCTGCCCAGGCTGGTCTCAAACTCCTGGACTCAAGCAATCCACCCACCTTGGCCTCCCAAAGTGCTGGGATTACAGGCATGAGCCACGGTGCCTGTCCAACTCAGAGTATTTTTGATAAGGGATTTCATTTCTCTTTCTGCCTCAGGTTGCCCACCTGCAGTGAACATGAATGTCATTCTTGACACTTGGGATAGTTGGGGTCAGTCTCTGATAGTAGCCAGAGACAGGCATAGTGTTTAGTAGCTTCAATTCCTGCTAAGCCTTCGTATTGCAATTCATTGTACTTGGAGTCAAGACGCTTAAACAAGGGTCCCAAATACCTGCTTTTCCAAAAAGAGAGGTGACAGATGAGGCTTTTGTGTGATGGACATTTTCTTACATTTCATAGAACACTCAAAATTTTGAGCCTTCCAAAAGGAGTCCTAGAGCCACTTTGGCTTTGTGAAAAAAGATAGAGTGCTTCGCATTCAACTGAGATCATCATAGCTTTAATAATTTATTACTTAGAGAGGATAATGTTCAGTTTCCGGATTCCTTATTCAATGTTTTAGTCAACAAATATTTATGGGTGCTTATTTTGAGCTAAACACTACACAAGTTTCCACAAAGTCTTTCTGCAAAGCTCCACTGGGAGCATTCAGTGCCAGAAAGTGCTTTTTAGCAACAAAGGTGCTTTTTCATATCTGTGATAAAAAGGTGGAAACTGAAACAGGTGAAGATTAGGAGACTAAAGAGAACCAGATTTTTAAAAATAGGGGCTAATAGCTATTCTTGTGACTTGTAGGAGGAACTACAATTCAATGATATGAACTCAATTATAACTACTCTTAGAGAAAGGGACATTCAGCCATAAGATCCTGACAGGGATTTGTGTCATTTGGTTGCATTCTGTGAAATGGGTTTCAGTAGTCAAAGACTGGCTATCTCCTAAGTTTGTGAGTAGAGGTGAAAAGGCTTGGGAATAAGAATGGAAATTATTCTAAAGGAGGAGATCCCGAAGTCGCTTACCTTTGGTCCAGCCCACTGTGAGGAAACCACCTCAAAGACTACGGTGCTGGCCTTGGAGATTTAGTCCATCCATGGAGAACAGACAAAGGTGAAGGTTGTGACAAAACTCATCTGAAGACCTGCTTTCAGCAGCAGTCTTCTTTATTTGTAAATAATTAATGTACAAAGTAATTCACTCTTTTTTTTGAAACAGGATCTGGCTCTGTTGCCCAGGCTAGAGTCCAGTGGACCGATCTCAGTTCACTGCAACCTCCACCTCCTGGGTGCAAGCCAGTCTCCCACCTCAGCCTCCCAAGTAGCGTGGACTACAGACACACGTCACCACAACTGGCTAATTTTTCTGTTTTTTTTTTTTTGCAGAGATGGTGTCTCCCCATGTTGCTCAGGCTAGTCTTGAACTCCTGAGCTCAAGTGATCCACCTGCCTCGGCCTCCCAAAGTGCTGGGATTACAGGCGTGAGCCACCATGCCCAGCTAGTAATTCACTCTTGTTCCTTTTGGCAGATATCTAATTTTCCCTCCACTGCTGGGAGCTGGCTCCTGTCAATAGTCTAGATTAGAGCTGGGATTCTTATCTATTTGCTGCTCTCTAGACTCTATCTATCCTTCTATTATTTCATTATCTCTATTTTCATTTGTTGCTGGGCAGCTTCAGTTCTTGTCTAGGTGAATTTTGGAGAAATAGCTGTTTTCCTCCCCATTTTGTGTTGTTCTAGAAGCACACTGTTTTTTCCAGTCACATGTATTATGACAATTAATGGACTGGGTTTTGTGTTAAAGTTGGGTGAATGAAATGTTTTCCCACTTAGAAATAAAGAGCTCAGCAAATTGAAGTAAATGTTCCCTTCCAGGCAGCTCTGCCTTGCTTCCTGAAAGAGTAGCTTATTTCCAATAAATCATTTATCTAAATGGAGCTCTTGGAAGAAGTTTTACATTAAAGAGTGCTTTACATTAAAGAAAGAGTGTGTGCAAGCCTTTGGTTGGAACTATTTTTATTATTCAGTATTTATTTAAAAATGATATTGCTTTAGAAAATTTCAGATAGCTAATTAGAAACATCCTTAATGATCAAAATTCAAGCCAGAATGCCCCTCTAGCAGAGAACAGAGTTAGCACTCTCTCGTGTACCTTCTTCAGGTAATTGAGGAGATTGAGGAGATGATGCAGAACTCCCCAGACCCTGAGGAAGAAGAGGAGGTTCTGGAAGAAGAGGATGGAGGAGAAACCTCCTCCCAGGCAGACTCGGTTCTCCTGCAGGAGATGCAGGCGTTGACACATGACCTTCAACAACAACTGGTCCTATGAAGGTGAGGCCCTGGGTGCTGGGCTGGCTGAGGAGGAAGCACCTGCTCGGGGCCAGGCTCTGGGCTGTGCACTTTGTACATGGCTAATAGAACCCTGATCACTGCCTCAGAGCAGAGCCTTGCAGATCTAAGGCAGTCAGCAATACCTTTCTTTCTTTCTTTCTTACATCAGGAGAGAAGTTTGCATTTTGAGAAAAAAATAAGGTAGTCGAGCAAAATTTAAATGTTAAACTAACCAAAGACTAAGGCAGAATAAGCAGAAGAAATCTGAACTACTATGTAAAAGCAATGAATGATGCTACATAAAATCAATGAAAAAGGGTAATAACAGCTCATATTTTTGAAGTGCTTTCCATGTGCCAGAACTTATTCTAAGACTCCCTTCCTTCCTTCCTTCCTTCCTTCCTTCCTTCCTTCCTTCCTTCCTTCCTTCCTTCCTTCCTTCCTCCCTCCCTCCTTCTCTCTCTCTCCTTCCTTCCTTCCTTCCTTCCTTTTTCTTCCTTTCTTTCTTTCTTTCTTTCTTTCTTTTTCTTTCTTTCTTTTCTTTCTTTTTTCTTTCTTCTTTCTTTCTTTTCTTTCTTTTCTTTCTTCTTTCTTTTTCTTTCTTCTTTTCTTCTCTCTCTCTCTCCCGTCTCCTCTCTCTTCTTCTTTTCTTTCTTTCTTTTTTTTTTTTTGAGACAGAGTCTTTCTCTGTCACCCAGGCTGGAGTGCAGTGGCATGGTCTTAGCTCACTGCAGCCTCCACCTCCCAGGTTGAAGTGATTCTCAAGCCTCAGCCTCCTGAGTAGCTGGGACTACAGGCATGTGCCACCACGCCTTGCTAAATTTTATATTTTTGTAGAGAGGAGGTTTCGCCATGTTGGCCAGGCTGGTCTCAAACTCCTGACCTCAAGTGATCTGCCTGTCTCAGCCTCCCAAAGTTCTGGGATTACAAGCGTGAGCCACTGCGCCTGGCCTTATTCTAAGACTTTCTATGCCTAATCTCATTTCATCTTCACACCAACCCCATTAGGATCAAGCTAACTGAGTCTTTCAGAGGTTACATGACTTGTCCGAGGCCACTGTTAGAATGAGATTAGATCAGATACGATTAGAAATGAGATCTCCTTGTGTGCAGAAAACCTCTCCACAAAGACAGATGATAAATAGAACTATTTTATTAC